GAATGTGGGGTCCGGGGAGAGTGGATATAGTGAATGCGGGGTTCGGGGAGAGCGGATATAGTGAATGCGGGGTCCGGGGAGAGCGAAAATAGTGAATGCGGGGTCCGGGGAGAGCGGATATAGTGAATGAAGGGTCCGGGGAGACCGGATATAGTCAATGCAGGGTCCGGGGAGAGCGGATATAGTGAATGTGGGGTCCGGGGAGAGTGGATATAGTGAATGCAGGGTCCGGGGAGACCGGATATAGTCAATGCAGGGTTCGGGGAGAGCGGATATAGTGAATGCGGGGTCCGGGGAGAGCGGATATAGTGAATGCAGGGTCCGGGGAGACCAGATATAGTGAATGCGGGGTCCGGGGAGAGCGGATATAGTGAATGCAGGGTCCGGGGAGAGCGGATATAGTGAATGCAGGGTCCGGGGAGAGCGGATATAGTGAATGCAGGGTCCAGGGAGAGCGGATATAGTGAATGCAGGGCCATCCTGTCTTGGTTCCATTGTATGTAGGAATGCAGCCACCCTGTCTTGATCCCCCTGTATGTAGAAAAATAACCTCCCTCCCTTGCTTACTACTTAGATAAACTATACACTATGGGATGAGTAGTGTGCACAGAGCAGTGTACATGCCCACAACTAACCCGTACTGTTCATTTCAAACAAATGGGAGTGAGGGGGTAAAGGAGAGGTTCCAGGGTTTACAGAGGGCATTCAAAGAAGGCAGAAATACTCAGTAAGAAATGATTTAATGAAATTTAGTTTACAGAGACATAAAATGTCAATAACAGCAAAACTTTTTTTTTACTTTTTGGTAGCATGGAGAAGGATTAGAACCCCTGTCAGGTTTTTATTGCTGTCTGTGTCTCCATTAGGGACATTCACCCTCTATTATTTGTCCGGGTTACCATTATCACCGAAAGTGAAAGTAAAAGAAAATCCCAAAGTTTGGGTTGTTCGCAGAACAGGAATTGAGGGGAATTCTTCCAACCTGGATGTTCTGGGGGAATTTTGGACCCCTACCCTCCCCCCTTTATCTACCATTCGCTTTGGGGGAAACTTGGACCCCTTATCCCCCACCTTTATCTATGCCCCTGACATGGGGGGTGTTAAAGTATAACTAAATGCACACATTTTTTTTTTGTTTTGGATAGAGTGGAGAAGGACTAGAACTCTGGTCAAGTTTTTATTCACATCTGTGGCCCTGGAAGGGAGATTCATCCTCTCTCTTTGTCCTGTTTACCATTATTACTGAATAGAAAATCCCAAATTTTGGGTTGTCCCCAAAATAGGAATTGGGGGGAAATCTTCCAACCAAGATGCTCTGGGGGAAACTTGGACCCCTTATCCCTCACCTTTATCTACGCCCCTGACATGGGGGGTGTTAAAGTATAACTAAATGCCATTTTTTTTTTAGTTTTGGATAGAGTGGAGAAGGACTAAAACACCTGTCAAGTTTTTATCAACATCTGGGCCCCTGTTATGGAGGTTCACCCTCTCTATTCGTCCTTTTTACCATTATTACTGAAAATGACAGTAAAAGAAAATACCAAATTTTGGGTTGTCCCCAGAACAGGAATTGAGGGGAAATCTTCGAACCAGGTTGCTCTGTGGGAAACTTGGACCCCTTATCACCCACCTTCAGCTACACTCCTGACATGGGAGAATAACTAATGCAAAATTATTTTTTTTTAGTTTTAGAGTGGAGAAGGACTAGAACTCTGGTCAAGTTTTTATTGACATCTGTGCCCCTGGTAGGGAGATTCACCCTCTCTATTTGTCCTGTTACTGAAAAGAAAGTCCCAAATCTTGGGTTGTCCCCGGAACAGGAATTGAGGGAAAATATTCCAACCAGGTCGCTCTGGGGGAAACTTGGACCCCTTATCCCCCACCTTTATCTACGCCCTTGACATGGGGGGTGTTAAAGTATAACTAAAAGCAAAAATATTTTTTTCCGTTTTAGATAGAGTAATTTTGATAGAGTGGAGAAGGGCTAGAACTCTGGTCAAGTTTTTATTGACATCTGTTTCCCTGGCAGGGAGATTCCCCCTCTCTATTTGTCCTGTTTACCATTATTACTGAATAGAAAATCCCAAATTTTGGGTTGTCCGCTACATAGGAATTGAGGGCAAATCTTTCAACCAAGATGCTCTGGGGGAAATTTAGACCCCCTATCCCTTACCTTTATCTACGCCCCAGTATAACTAACATGCAAAAATATTTTTTTTTCCGGGGGTGTTAAAGTATAACTAAATGCCATTTTTTTTAGTTTTGGATAGAGTAGGGAGAAGGTCTAAAACTCCTGTCAATGCCATTTTTTTTAGTTTTTTTTATCGAGGTCATCTGGTTTTTATCGACATCTGGGCCCCTTTATGGAAGTTCACCCTCTCTATTTGTCCTTTTTACCATTATTACTGAAAATTACAGTAAAAGAAAATACCAAATTTTGGGTTGTCCCCAGAACAGGAATTGAGGAGAAATCTTCGAACCAGGTTGCTCTGGGGGAAACTTATCTACCCACTTGGACCCCTTATCACCCACCTTCAACTACGCCCCTGACATGGGGGGTGAAAAAGTATAACTAAATGCAAAAATATTTTTTTCCGTTTTGGATAGAGTAATTTCGATAGAGTGGAGAAGGACTAGAACTCCGGTCAAGTTTTTATCGACATCTGGGCCCCTGTTATGGAGGTTCGCCCTCCCTATTTGTCCTGTTTACCGTTATTACTGAAAAGAAAGTCCCAAATCTTGGGTTGTCCCCAAAATAGGAATTGAGGGGAAATCTTCCAACCAGGTCACCCTGGGGGAAACTTGGACCCCCTATCCCTCACCTTTTATCTATGCCGCTAACATGGGGGGTGTAAAAGTATAACTAAATTAATTTTTTTTTATTTTTATTTTGGATAGAGTCGTTTTGGATAGAGTGGAGAAGGACTAGAACTCCGGTCAAGTTTTTATTGACATCTGTGCCCCTGGGAGGGAGATTCCCCCTTTTTATGTGTCCTGTTTACTATTATTACTGAAAATGAAAGTAAAAGAAAATCCCAAATTTTGGGTTGTCCCCAGAACAGGAATAGCAAAATCTTTCAATGGGAACGCTAGGTCTGGTGACAACCAGCGATTTCCTCGTTTCAGAGGGATTTTCTCTTCACTTCCTGTATCGGCTATGGAACAGGAAATGAAGAGAAATCTCCCCAACAGGAGAATATAGGAAAAAACCTAAGAACTGATGGAACTTTACTGGTACGAATCTACCTGATGAAGCTAATAAAATTCCTGTGGCGCTTTACACTACCTTTCCCCAGAGCCTTCCCTCCTTTACCGTGGCCAGACATGACGATTCTACTTTGCTGCAAACGTACCTCATCTCTAATATATCATATATGAAAAAAACCTAAGAACTGATGGGACGTTACTGGTACAAAAATGGACAACTTCATGTTACTATATAAAACAGGTTTTTTGAAACACATCTTCCAAACACTTTGTATAAAAACAATACTTGGCTGGTAAGCCCAAATAATCACAGCATCATATATGGAAGGTTCAGCGCTTATAAACAAAATATATGAAAAAGTCCCTGATGGATCAAGAAAACCAAGGATATGGGGTAGTCCCTTAAACACAAGTGAATATAAATAGTAGAGGTGACTTTGATATCCATGTTGAGGTGGTAATGAAATGCGCACTCACCGGACGCGCATATTATATGCGCCCTATGTGTAATAATCCTGCTGCCAGGTGATGGGTGGTCTTCCCTCTATCGGATCCTAGGTGAGTATTCGTTCTCCTCAGGAGGTCCCCCTATATGGTCCTAGAGGATGTTGTCACTCCAAATGGCCTGGGTGGTATGTGGTAATCCATTCCTGGAGTGGGTCTGTGGACTAGAGCACTCCCCCAGGGGGCGACAAGAACACTCCCATAGTGTAGTATGTTAAACCCAAAAATGTATTTATTAATGTGTATCAGATAAAAAGTATACAGCGTTGCAGACAGTAGTCTGTATAAGGACTGACCAGCTGGTAGTTAAAGATGGCCGCCGGAGCTCCACGTTGCTCCGGCGGCGTGACGCCACGGCGTGATGTGGCTCCTCCTGACGTGTATCGTGCTCAAGCACGTCTTCAGAGGGGGGTCACTAATCACCTGATTTTTGGGTTTAACATACTACACTATGGGATTGTTCTTGTTGCCCCCTGGGGGAGTGCTCTAGTCCACAGACCCACTCCAGGAACGGATTACCGCATACCACCCAGGCCATTTGGAGTGACAACATCCTCTAGGACCATATAGGGGGACCTCCTGAGGAGAACGAATACTCACCTAGGATCCGATAGAGGGAAGACCACCCAACACCTGGCAGCAGGATTATTACACATAAGGCGCATATAATATGCGCGTCCGGTGAGTGCGCATTTAATTACCACCTCAACACAGATATCAAAGTCACCTCTACTATTTATATTCACTTGTGTTTACGGGACTACCCCATATCCTTGGTTTTCTTGATCCATCAGGGACTTTTTCAAATATTTTGTTTATAAGCGCCGCACCTTCCATATATATTGTCTATTCCGTAGGTCATTGGTATCTATCTTGTGCATAGCAGCTTGTTGGTTTTTACTAAGGCGCTCTTTGCTACTTCTTGTACAATCACAGCATCATGTATTGTGGCATCTATGTCCTCCAAAAGTCGACGCGTTTCACTTATTAGCTTCATCAGGAAGCTTCGTATCCAGTAACGTCCCATCAGTTCTTAGGTTTTTTTTCTATATGATATATTAGGGATGAGGTACGTTTGCAGCAAAGAAAAATCATCATATCTGGCCACGGTAAAAGAGGGAAGGGTCTGGGGAAAGGTGGCACTAAGCGCCACAGGAAGGTGCTCCAGGACAACATCCAGGGCATCACCAAACCCACCATCTGACATTTGGCCCGCAGAGGGGGAGTCAAGCGCATCTCCGGACTTATCAATTAGGAGACCCATGTAGTGCTCAAAGTCTTCCTGGAGAATGTCATCCGCGATGCCGTCACCTACACCGAGCACGCCAAGAGGAAGACCCTTACCGCCATGGTTGTCGTCTATGTTCTCAAACGACAGGGACGCAATCTCTGTGGATTCGGATGGTAAATCCTCATAACCCACCCACTTAAAGTTGATCCTGGGAATATCTGATTGCCTCTCGGGGGATCAGGAAGGAATTTTTTTCCCTTCAGGATCAAATTGGATCATGCTTTGCTGCGTTTTTTTTTTTTTTTGCCTTCCTCTGGATCAACTGTGGGTGTAGGATTTATATATATATTTTTTTTTTAATGGTTGAACTGGAAGGACTTTTGTCTTTTTTCAGCCAGACTAACTATGTAACTATGTAATATGTGGACATTGCATAGGATGGGCTGCCTGCAAATTCTGCCTGCCTAAAAATGCCCACTGCTCCAGATTAACCCATCAAGGCTTTTTAATATCTGCCACAAATGTAAGGAGCATTCTTCCCACTGATCACCAATGTAAGGGGCATTCTTCCCACTGACCACCAATGTAAAGGACATTCTTCCCACTGATCACCAATGTAAGGAGCATTCTTCCCACTGACCACTAATGTAAAGGACATTTTTCCCACTGACCACCAATGTAAAGGACATTCTTCCCACCGACCACCAATGTAAAGGACATTCTTTCCCACCGGTCCAATGTAAAGGACACCGACCACCAATGTAAAGGACATTTTCCCACCGACCACCAATGTAAAGGACATTCTTCCCACCGACCACCAATGTAAAGGACATTCTTCCCACTGATCACAATGTAAAGGACATCCTTCCCACTGACCACCAATGTAAGGAGTATTCTTCCCACCGACCACCAATGTAAAGGACATTCTTCCCACCGCCACCAATGTAAAGGACATTCTTCCCACCGACCACCAATGTAAAGGACATTCTTCCCACTGATCACCAATGTAAAGGACATTCTTCCCACTGATCACCAATGTAAGGAGGACATTCTTCCCACCGACCACCAATGTAAAGGACATTTTTCCCACCGACCACCAATGTAAAGGACATTCTTCCCACCGACCACCAATGTAAAGGACATTCTTCCCACCGACCACCAATGTAAGGACATTCTTCCCACCGACCACCAATGTAAAGGACATTCTTCCCACTGATCACTAATGTAAAGGACATTCTTCCCACTGATCACCAATGTAAGGAGCATTCTTCCCACCGACCACCAATGTAAAGGACATTTTTCCCACCGACCACCAATGTAAAGGACATTCTTCCCACCGACCACCAATGTAAAGGACATTCTTCCCACCGGCCAACAATGTAAAGGACATCCTTCCAACTGACCACCAATGTAAAGGACATTCTTCCCACCGGCCAACAATGTAAAGGACATCCTTCCAACTGACCACCAATGTAAAGAGTATTCTTCCCACCGACCACCAATGTAAAGGACATTCTTCCTACCGACCACCAATGTAAAGGACTGTCTTCCCACTGACCACCAATGTAAAGGACATTCTTCCCACTGACCACCAATGTAAAGGACATTTCTTTCCAATGACCACCAATGTAAGGAACATTCTTCCCACTGACCTCCAATGTAAGGGCATTCTTCCCACTGACCCCCAATGTAAGGAGCATTCTTGCCACTGACCACCAATGTAAGGGACATTCTTCCCACTAGCCACCAATATAAAGGACATTCTTCCCACTGACCACCAATGTAAGGGACATTCTTCCCACTAGCCACCAATATAAAGGACATTCTTCCCACTGACCACCAATGTAAGGGACATTCTTCCCACTGACCACCAATGATTATAACCATCCCTTACTTTATTCAACATGAAAAAAAAGCTTTGCCTTTAGTTCTTCATTAAATATTAAATGCATCCTCTTGTATTAATTTGTATTGTAATTGTACTGTCTGCCCTTATGTTGTAACAGTTGGCGCTATATAAATCCTGTATAATAATAATAATAATAATAATAATAACATGTATGGATTAATTTTGGTGTGTCCCTTTAAACACTGTCCACATGTCTACGTATTTGTAAATCTTACCACCATAACATCGCGGGAAGCAGCGGCCGAACGCTCGTGCAATCAAGACGCACATCCGTATTCTAATCGAGTAAACAGCCTGTTATTTATGCAGCCAAATTGCAGTGAAGGATGATCTATCAGCGAAGGAATAGATCTTCCTGAATTATGGATTATATACACAGAAAGGCACTTTACATTCTCCCACAGTCTAATTTCTACTTAATATTAAACAGCTAAAGTACACGTCTAAAAATGACAATGATGAGCTGTCACCGGACGGGTGACACCGGCCACTTTCCTCGTGTCTAGCTTTGATGGGACAAAAGGAAACTAACGGCCCTTCGTAAAGTACCGTGAGATACAATGTTACCATCTTGAAACGGAATCTCTTTACACGGAGGAGCCGCACTGGATTCCATTCAGTTGTCACTGGAAACGTTTTCTGTGTTGTGTTATCACATAGCCTGTTATATCTGTTACTTTGTACCAGAGGCGTCCCTAGGGTTGGTGTCACCCGGTGCGGTAACACTTGGTGACACCCCCTCTGACGATCCCTGCAGAATGGATCAGATCTGCGGATTGAGCATAATGGATCGAACTCAGGGGCGGACAGACCATTTGGAAATTTGGGCACTGCCCGAGGGCTCGTAGTCAGTAGGGGGCCCCATGAGATGCCCCGGTACCTTTTTCATAGGCTTTTTTGAGTTTGGGCAAGGACACAGGGGCCCCATGATCCCCTATTGCCCGGGGGCCCCATGAGTTGACAGTCCACCCCTGATCGGACTCCGATCCATTATGCTCAATCCGCAGATTCGATCCATTCTGCAGGGATCTTCGGCTTTCTTTACAACACACCTTCTCATGGAGCAGGTCCGGTGTCACCCCGTATAGGTTGCATGCCGACGATCCCCGCAGGATGGATTGGATCTGTGGATTGAGCATAATGGATCGGACTCAGGGGCGGACAGACCATTTGGAAACTCAGGGACTGCCCGAGGGCCCGTACTCAGTAGGGGGCCCCATGAGATGCCCCTGGTACCTTTTTCATAGGCTTTTTTGAGTTTGGGCAAGGACACAGGGGCCCCATGATCCCCTATTGCCCGGGGGCCCCATGAGTTGTCAGTCCACCCCTGATCGGATTCCGATCCATTATGCCCAATCCGCAGATCCGATCCATCCTGCGGGGATTGTCGGCTTTCTTTACAACTTTCCTTTTCGTGGAGCGGGTCCAGTGTCACCCCCAGTATAGGTTGCATGCTGACGATCCTCGCAGGACGGATCGAATCTGTGGATTGAGCATAATGGATCAGAGTGCGGTAGTGTCACCCGGTGCGGCACGCAAACCCCCACACCTGCCTAGGGACTCCACTGCCTATGTGTGCCAGTTGTTTACAGGCAGTTGAGTTTACAGTCATTTCTTTGAATGCACCAAACTTGCGTTCAAAGACATGCTGGTAGGTGAATTGGCTCCTGTCTACATTGGCCCTAGTATGTGTATGTATGAATGTGAGTTAGGGACCTTAGATTGTACGCCCCCTGAGGGTTAGGGTCCTTAGATTGTACTCCCCTTAAGGGTTAGGGACCTTAGATTGTACGTCCCGTGAGGGTTAGGGACCTTAGATTGTACGCCCCTTAGGGTTAGGGACCTTAGATTGTATGCCCCTTAAGGGTTAGGGACCTTAGATTGTACGCCCCTTAAGGGTTAGGGACCTTAGATTGTACGCCCCATGAGGGTTAGGGACCTTAGATTGTACGCCCCTTAAGGGTTAGGGACCTTAGATTGTACGCCCCTTGAGGGTTAGGGACCTTAGATTGTACGCCCCTTGAGGGTTAGGGACCTTAGATTGTACACCCCTCGAGGGTTAGGGACCTTAGATTGTACGCCCCTTGAGGGTTAGGGACCTTAGATTGTACACCCCTCAAGGGTTAGGGACCTTAGATTGTACGCCCCTTGAGGGTTAGGGACCTTAGATTGTACGCCCCTTGAGGGTTAGGGACCTTAGATTGTACGCCCCTTAAGGGTTAGGGACCTTAGATTGTAAGCCCCTTGAGGGTTAGGGACCTTAGATTGTATGCCCCTTGAGGGTTAGGGACCTTAGATTGTACGCCCCTTGAGGGTTAGGGACCTTAGATTGTACGCCCTTGAGGGTTAGGGACCTTAGATTGTACGCCCCTCGAGGGTTAGGGACCTTAGATTGTACGCCCCTTGAGGGTTAGGGACCTTAGATTGTACGCCCCTTGAGGGTTAGGGACCTTAGATTGTACGCCGCTTGAGGGTTAGGGACTGATGTGAATGTACAATATATATGTAAAGTGCTGCGTAGATTGACGGTGCTATATAAGTACCTGAAATACATAGATAAATAAAATAAAAAAGACCACAAACTGGATGGAATTTTTTCAAGCAGACTAACGATGTAACTATGTAGAGTTCAATAGGCAGCACCGCCTGTCAAGCTTGCCTATTGAGGTCAATGCGACCATGCCACAACCAGGGGCGGACTGACCATTCAAACACTCAGGCACTGCTCGAGGGGCCCAGGGTCAGTAGGGGGCCCCATGAGATGCCCCTGGTACCTTTCATTGGCTTTTTCATAGGCTTTTTTGGGTGTTGGTGAGGACACAGGGGCCCCATGATCCCCTATTGCCCGGGGGCCCCATGATTTGTCAGTCTGCCCCTGGCCGCGACCACATACCAAGCATAACTTTGGCAGTTGCGGCACAGTAGTTTAACAGAAAATACTTCTGGGATTGGACATGATGAGTTGATATTGCAGCACCGTGAAGGAAAGCATCGTCATGCCACGTCAATTTAAACAGACCTCATCGGCTGCCATATGCGCCTGTTGGTGGGTGGTTGGGTTGGCAGTAAAAACACGAATCCAATTCCTGCGTTTACCACCCTCGTGTGAACTTAGCCTAATGATCCGAAAACAATACTGGAAGCCGGGGATCTCAGTGGGGAAAGCTAATTAGTTTTATAAAAATTTGGTAGATGATTCAGTTTGTCAACATCCACCCAAAAAATTGCAGCTTTGCCTGGACTTACGCTGCAATAATACACATTTACGCCGACTGTAA